TTTTGAGATGAAGCCAACACTGTTGAATCTGATTCAGAATAATCAATTTGTGGGTCTTGATCATGAGGACCCATATCCGCATCTTCATACTTTTATTGAGCTTTGTGGCACAATGAAGATACATCAAGTTCCTGAAGAGGTGATTCGGATGAAGTTGTTTCCTTTCTCATTACTTGGGAAAGCTAAGATGTGGCTCAATGCTCTACCACATCAAAGCTTAACTAGGTGGTCTGACATACAGACAAAGTTCTTGGCAAGATTCTTCCCTCTTGCTAAGATAAATCAAGCAAAAAGTGAGATTGTCACATTCTCTCAGAAGCAAGATGAACTTCTTTCCGAGGCTTGGGAGAGATACAAATCCTTGTTGAGGAGATGTCCAAGTCATGGATTTGATGACCTTACTCAGGTTAATATTTTTCTGGGTGGATTGCAGCCACGGGTGAAAATTCTATTGGATGCCTCAGCTGGAGGTAGTATGCATTTCAAAACACCGGAGGAGGCTATAGAGTTGATTGATGCAATGGCAGCAAATGATTATGATCTACCAGCTGAAAGGGAGTCAAGACAGAAAAGAGGAATTCTAGAGTTGGGATCTCAAGATGCTTTATTAGCTCAAAATAAGCTCTTGTCCCAGCAAATTGAGGCTCTTACCAAGCAAGTTGCTCGGATTCCACAACAACTACAATCCACTCAACATCAAGTTCTAAGTTGTGATCTTTGTGGGTTGAATCATCCTCACGGGCAGTGCATTGATACTTTCCCATCTCATGGGGAAGAGGTAAATTACATGGGGAATCAAGCTTGACAAGGAGGAAATTATGGTGGTAATTATGGGAAGAATTGGCAATCACACCCTAGCACAGGATGGAACCAGAATGATATTTCTCAATCTAGTAGACCTCCTATGCAAAGGCCTGACTTGTATGACAGGCAGTCTAAATTAGAAGAAACATTGAATCAGTTCATGCAGGTCTCAATCTCTAACCACGAGAATACTGAAGCATCTATAAAGAATTTGGAGATTCAAATGGGGCAGCTGGCCAAACAATTGGCTGAAAATTCTGGTGGAAATTTTTCAGCCAATACTCATACTAATCCAAAGGAGAATTGTAGTGCAATTACAACAAGAGGTGGTAAGAGAGTGGGTGTGTTGGAGGATGAGGAAGAGCAACAAGAAAACAAGGTTGAAGAGACAGAGAGAGGTGAAAAAAATAATGAAAAAAAAAAAAAAAAAATAGAAAATGCAAAAGAGAATGTCATAGAGGGAGAAGAGTTGGCTGAGGAAGTTGCTGTTAAAAAATCAAAGAGCCAGCTAGCAAGAGAATTGAAATGAAATCCAAGGTGTCTAGTACCAAGGATATTCCATATCCCCCAGCCCCAAGCAAAAAGGATAAAGAGAAGCAATTTGCACGCTTCATGGAGCTTTTTAAGAAGCTTCAAATCAACATTCCTTTCTCAGAGGCATTGGAACAGATGCCCACTTATGCAAAATTCATGAAAGACCTCTTGACAAAGAAGAGAAAGTTCATTGAGCAGGAGATTATTGAGTTGGAAGCGGGATGCAATGCCATAATTCAAAAGAACTTACCTCCCAAGTTATGGGACCCTGAAAGTTTTACAATTCCAATCACTATTGGGGACCTATCAGTTGGAAGAGCACTGCTAGACTTGGGTGCAAGCATTAACCTCATGCCCTTGTCTATGTTAGATAGAGTTGGCCAGGTGGTAGTAAAACTGACCTGCATGACTTTGCAACTAGCTGACCGGTCTATCAAGTATCCCTATGGTGTGATTGAAAACATGCTCGTTAAAGTTGACAAATTCATATTTCCAGCTGATTTTGTGGTTATGGATATGGAAGAAGACTATGTTATTCCTATTATCTTGGGGAGGTCATTTATGAAGACTGCACGAGAAATCATTGATATAGAGAATGGTGAATTTAAATTGAGGGTCCATGATGAGGTGATCACTTTTAATGTATTTGAAGCTATGACCCATCTGAATGATAAAGGTGCTTGTTTCCGAATGGATGTGCAGGACGAGGTAGTGCTTGAGGCTACACAACAACTAAAAAAGTCATTTTCTCTTGAATATGTGTTAACTGATACTATGGATGAACTCGATGAGGAGGATGTGATTGAAATGTCTGAATGCTTGCAGCACCTAAATACTTTCAAGGAGATTCCACCTAGTGATGCCAACCATGAGGAGTTAAAAGGTGACAGCACACTAGTGAGCACTAAGCCAGAGTTGAAGATACTTCCAATTCACCTCAAATATGTCTTTTTGGAGCCAAATGGTGAAAAACCAATCATCATTAGTAACTCCCTGTCTCAACTGGAAGAACAAAAATTGATTAAAGTCTTGCAGGTGCATAAGGAAGCTATAGGGTGGTCCATTTCTAACCTTAAAGGCATCAATCCAGCTTACTACATGCACAAAATAAACATGGAGAGTGATTACAGGCCAGTAGCTCAGGCTTAAAGAAGACTAAATCCCATTATGAAGGAGGAGGTGAGAAAAGAGGTTCTAAAGCTCTTGAAAGCTGGGATGATATATCCAAGTTCAGACAGTGAGTGGGTAAGCCCCGTACAAGTCGTGCCAAAGAAGGGAGGAATGATTGTGATAACCAATGAGAAGAATGAGTTGATCCTAACAAGAACAGTAATAGGCTGGAGAATGTGCATAGACTACCGGAAGTTAAATCAAGCCACTAGGAAAGACCACTTTCCTCTCCCTTTTATGGATCAGATGTTGGAGCGACTGGCCGGTCAAGCGTACTACTGTTTCTTAGATGGGTACTCGGGGTACAACCAAATTGTTGTTAATCCCAAGGATCAAGAAAAAACTGCCTTCACATGCCCATTCGGGGTGTTTGCTTACAGAAGAATGCCCTTTGGTCTTTGCAATGCACCAACTACCTTCTAGAGATGCATGCTGGCAATTTTTGCTGATTTGGTGGAGAAATGTATTGAAGTCTTCATGGATGACTTCTCTATTTTTGGGTCTTCATATGATGTATGTCTGGAGAATCTTTAGCTAGTTTTGAAGAAGTGCATTGATACCAACTTAGTTCTGAATTGGGAGAAGTGCCACTTTATGGTTCAAGAAGGTATTGATCTTGGCCATAAAATTTCAGCTAGAGGAATAGAAGTGGACAAGGCCAAGGTTAATGTGATTGAGAAATTGCCTCCCCCAATTCATATTAAGGGTGTTTGTAGCTTCCTTGGGCACGCCGGTTTTTACAGGAGGTTCATCAAGGACTTTTCTAAGATCGCCAAACCTTTGTGCACCTTATTGAACAAGGACCAACCCTTTCTCTTTGATGAAAAGTGCATGAAAGCATTTTTGACCTTGAAGAATAGACTTACCACAGCCCCTATGATTGTTGCTCCGGATTGGAGTGATGACTTTGAGTTGATGTGTGATGCCAGCCACTATGCTGTTAGAGCTATCTTGGGTCAGCGGAGGAATAAGGTGTTTCACTCTATTTATTATGCTAGTAAAGTGTTGAATGGAGCACAGCTAAATTATGCAACCACAGAGAAAGAGTTGCTAGCCATTGTGTATGCCTTGGAGAAATTTTGAGCTTATCTTATTGGATCCAAGGTCTTTGTATACATTGACCACGCAACCATTAAATACCTGCTCACCAAAGCTGAATCAAAACCTCGATTAATCCGTTGGGTCTTGCTACTGCAAGAATTCAACTTGGAGATAAAGAATAAGAAAGGTTCTGAGAATTTAGTGGCTGATCACCTCTCAAGATTAGTCAATGAAGAAGTTACTTGCAAGGAGGGTGAAATCAAGGATGATTTTCTGGATGAAGCTTTGTTGTTAGTGCAAGAACGTCCGTGGTTTGCTGACATGGCGAACTTTAAAGCAACTGGTATCATTCCGGAAGACTATACTTGGTAGCAAAAGAAAAATTTTTCCGTGATGCCAATTACTATGTTTGGGATGACCCTTATCTCTTCAAGGTAGCGGCTGATAATATGCTAAGGCAGTGTGTAACTCAAGATGAAGCCAAGAACATATTGTGGCACTGCCATAATTCCCCCTATGGAGGTTATTTCAATGGTGAACGAACTGCAGCCAAAGTCCTACAATCGGGTTTCTTTTGGCCAACATTATTTAAGGATGCCTATGAACATGCAAAGAGTTGTGATAGATGTCAGAGAATCGGAAATATTTCCAAACGCCATGAGCTACCATTGCAAAACATGCTTGAAGTAGAGGTCTTTGATTGCTGGGGGATCGATTTCATGGGGCCCTTACCTTCCTCTTACTCAAATGAGTACATATTAGTGGATGTAGACTATGTTTCCAAATGGGTCGAGGCTGCGGCTGCACAAAATAATGATGCTAAGACCGTGATCAAGTTTCTCAAGAAAAACATCTTCTCTAGGTTTGGCGTTCCAAGAGTTTTGGTCAGTGATGGGGGAACTCACTTCTGCAACTCTCAATTAAAGAAGGTGTTGGAACACTATGATGTGCGACACAAGGTGGCTTCTCCTTATCACCTGCAAAAAAATGGGCAAGCAAAGGTCTCAAACCGGGAAATCAAGCGTATCCTTTAAAAGAAAGTGAATGTAAGCAAGAAAGATTGGGCTCTCAAGTTGGATGATGCACTTTGGGCCTATCGCACTGCCTATAAGACACCTCTTGGACTGTCACCATTTTAGATGGTTTATGGTAAAGCATGTCACTTGCCGCCTGAGATGGAACATAAGGCATACTGGGCTATCAAGTTCTTGAATTTTGATCCAACCCAATTAGTTGAGAAGATACAGTTACAGCTGAATGAATTGGAAGAATTGCGTCTCAACGCTTACGAGTCAGCTAAGCACTACAAGGAAAGGACAAAGTTGTATCATGATCGGAAGATTCTAAAGCGAGAGTTTCATCCGGGACAACTTGTGCTCCTTTACAACTCCCGGTTGAGACTCTTTCCAGGGAAGCTGAAGTCAAAGTGGTTAGGGCCACTCAGAGTTAAGCAAGTTAAGCCTCATGGAGCAATACAAGTGGAGGATGTTTCCTCCAAGAAGAGCTGTGTGGTAAATGGCCAAAGACTTAAACTCTACTTGGGCGGTGAAATTGAGCGAGCTTATTCCACCGTTGCATTGGAGAACCCCTGAAGCTTTGGTTTGTCAAGCTAGTGACAGAAAACGAGCGCTTTATGGGAGGCAACCCATCATTCTTAATCCCAAAACAAGTTAGCATGCCTTTAAATTCAGTTATTTTGTGTTAGTGTGTTTTAGGTGTAGGTACATGGTTTATCATTGTGTTAATTTGCTTCTTAGTCGAGAAAGCATTGTGATTGTGAGGGTTTGAGGAACTTCATGTTGAGCTATGCTTGAAAATTTTGAAAATTTGCAGAAAAATTAAAATCCACGCTCAGCATGAAGTTCCAAGCAAAGCTATATCAGTGTAGAGGTAGAAAAATAGCTCTCAGGAGGTGCCAGGCTAAGCCTCAGTCCTACGCTTAACCTCAAAACTTAAACTTGAAAATTGGGGGTTCTCTCTGGAACTCTCATGCTTAGCTTAAAAGACACACCCGGAGAAAAGAATTAAAACTACTGCAGGGCGACCATTTTGTGGCCCTTCATTTGACTCTCACACCTTCTGTGACAAGGAACATCAAGAATTTTACCCCAAGTTGGAAGAAAGAAGTCTCTAGATGGAAAAGATGGTCAAACTCAAGCCAACTGAATATCCAAAATTCCAAGCAGAAATACAAAGAAGGAAGTGGGAAAAGCTAGCCTCCTACATGGATCCTGCTAACATTTCTGTTGTGCGGGAATTTTATTGCAATGCTCGGGTTCTTAGCAATGAGTTCCCTGAGTACACTAGCTATGTTTGGGGTATCACGATCAGGTTTGATGCCGCCACCATTAACACTTTTCTAGACACTCATCTGACTGAAGGCCTCAGGTACTGCGAGTATTCTGATTGGGTAGCCCGCAGCAAGAATTATAGGCTGGTGGAACGCACGGTTTGAAAACCAGGGAAGGGATTTCAATACACAAGCAGGGGGAAGATATCTCACATTCTCCGAGAAGATTTGATTCCAATGGCAAAAGTTTGGGTGGCTTTTATTCATGCCAATCTTTTCCTTGTTGCCACACTTTTGATGTCCTGGAGTCAAGGGAACTATTTCTATATGCTATTATAGATTAAAAAAGCTATTGATGTTGGGGCCCTCACAGCTGAAGAAATTAGACATTGTGCCCAGCATACAAGTATCTTGGGTCATCCTTCACTCATTACACATCTTTGTCATTGAGCTGGAGTCGATGTTACTGAAACACCATTTGAGAAGTTGAAGATTCCCATCAACAAAGTTTACATTGATACCTACTGCTACAAGGAGACTAATAGGAGGACTGCTAGTACCTCAACTTCTTCCTCTCGAGCACCACCACCAGTTAGTGCTATGGAGTCTCGGCGCTAGGAAGATATTAACGCTGCTCTGCTTTGCAGTGAACAGAGGGATGAGGCCATGTTCAGAGCTATTACTATGGTGATGGATAGTTTTCGTAATCTTTCCATTCATGCACCAAGACTCGCCCCAAATTGTCAACCACCTTCAACTACAGCTTATTCTGCTCATGTAGCATGGCCAGGGGGCCCGAAGATTCGGACATAGCAAGCGACATGGGACACTCACATGGATCTTGAAGCCTAGATTTTTCGGTTCACCATCCTTGACACCCAATAGATCATACAATCCAACACTCAATTTCTCCAAGGGGTAAGGATATAGGGAACACCGTCTACCTGAAGGAAACAACGTGAAGGTATCTATTGTCAAAACAAGAGTAAAGATCCGAATTTTCACCTCACTATCACAAGAGAAACAATGGAGCTTCTACTCAAAGTCTGAAGATCAGGTGTACAGTTTGTCAGCCTTATACGAGCGAATACATCTATCCAAGGGAAGCAACGTAAAATCGCCACCACCAAAGAGACGAGGAGAAGACCCGGAAGAAATGTCTACGTCTTTACTTGCCTTTGGAAAAGCAACACATAGCTATTCCAAAGGAAAAGTAAAGAGGGGTACCTGTAGACACCCAATTTCGTCCGAAGGAATACAAACAAGGAAATGGACTTCCATTATCGAAGGAAAGAAACTCCCGAAGCATGGAAACAACAAGACATGACATCAAAAGGCCTAAAATCCCAAATAAGCTGGTTTTAGCAGCCTGGAACGGGCTATTGCAAAACTAGAACGGGTCGTTCCCAATTTGGAATGGGCCGTTCCAAGTTCCTAAAAGGGCCTAAAACCCTAGTTTGGAACGGGTCGTTCCAAGCTCCTAAAAAAAGGCTAAAATCGTAATTGGAACAAGCCATTCCCAAAACTGGAATGGGCCGTTCTTAACTGGAACAGGCCGTTCCAAGTTATTAAAAAGGCTTTAAAATCCTTGTTTGGAACGGGCCGTTCCTAAACTGGAACGAGCCGTTCCAAGTTATTAAAAAGGCCT